GAAGTCATGAGTTATTTCATATATAATTTTTTTATTTGGACTATTCTTGAAAATAGTTATCAAAATTCATATAATTTTATTTTAATATAAATGTTTTTGTTTAAGAAATTAAAATTTATCTAGATAGCACTATATATTCCTAAAACCTACATAAGAAGCTATATACTAGATTTGGACCCACACAGATTTTTCATTTTGTAAAAATAAAATTTTGATAGTATTATAAATATATATATATATATGATTTACGTTTAATGCTATATATATTTATAACTCTATAATTTTGTTGTTTAAGTTTCTTATTCTTATTGATTGTTATTACTTATTAATATATTTTTGAGTTTGAAACATACATTATAATCTGAAATAATCAAGTATATAATTTTTTTAAATATAAAGTTTTAGTTTCTGCATTTTGCGTACAATACATTTTAACATTTATATAGATATACAATAGATAAATATTTGTTAAAGATAGTTTACATTTTCATGTTGTGTTTAAAAATGATGGTTTAACATCTACCACTTTAGTATTTTACGAGATTTTATAAATAAATATATTGTTATTTATTGATATTATATTTTATAAACTATAATAAAAAGAAAACCCGTAAGAGTGTGCGGGTCAAGATCTAATCATCTTTATATATTAAAATAGAAGTCATAACCTTGATTCATTTGTGATTTATTAGATAATGGACTATCTATAGAAAATCATATTTCATTTATTCTCATTAACATGTTGGCATAATTAAGATATCATATCTTATATAATCAACACATATAACAACTTCACCTATAAAATTGTTTTAATTTTATTTTTTAACTATATAAATTCTGTTGAAAGAATATAATAAAATCTTATAAGACACTATAAATATATTTATATAATAATGCACTAATTAATTTCTTAATTAGTACTATAATTTATTCAAATCAATGTAAGAAATTTTATTATAAGAATTAGGATATTTTAATAAACTTTCTAATTATAGTATATATTATACTAAAAGAAAAGTACTATAGGAATTATTTATAAAAAATAAAAATAAATTAAGTTATTTTATTTCTACAAATATTTCATTATAAATATGATTCGCCATTAAAATGAGTTTAACGTCAACCATGTATAAAATTTACTAAAATAATAAGTCTAAACTATTGGAATATAACAACCTAATTTTTTTTATAAAATACTTCTATAGACTAGAATTATAGATGATAAATTATATATTTTAAACATAAACAGGAAATATAAATGATCCTAAACAAATATCTATTATATTGTATAATTAAATAAAGTTTAAAAATATTTTGCATGCAAAAAGTAGAAATAAAAAATATATACTTGGAAGGGGGTTATCTATTTGATTATTTCAAATTATTAATTTATTGTACCGAATTTGAAATTAAATTATTATGTAATAAAAATTTATAAAAATTAAACATGTATAAAAAATATTTCTATATTAATAATGTCAAAAAATAAAATAATAAAATAATAGATTTACGTTATATCTTATTATATATTAGAATAGAAGTCCTCACCTTGATTCCTGTATAATTTTTTTAAAAATAGACTATCACTAGAAATTTTTACTATATGTATTTCATTAAGACTAATAATATCTAGAATCTTTAAAATACTTTAATCATAATATCTCTTGATATCTTTTCATGTTAAATATAAATATATTTATTTAAATAATAACAAATCTGTTTTAATTTTTTTATTTTGGATATCATCTTTAAATATTTTAACTAATTTCGAAATTAGTTTAAAATATTATTATACATTAATATGTTCGGTTAATTTTATAAGTTAAAAAATAAAAAATATATATCATATTATTTATTATATAATCATAATCAAACATATTAAAAGAAAATTATTATATTAAGCTAAATATAAGAAAATTGTATTAAATTGATAAATTTATATATTTTATTTTCTTAAGTATAAAATATTTTGTTCAAAAAGAAAATTTATTATGTTGATAAGACGGGTTAACATTAGCAAACTACATAATACATGTATATAAATTAATATGTATTTCATTAAAGCGAATAATATAAAATATTTATAACTACTTTAATCATGATATCTTTTCATTTTAAACATAAATATATATTTTTATACTAAATTTTTAAAAATTCTAATAAATCTGTGTAAAAATATTTTACAATAAGTTAATTTAATTTATGTTATCGTTATATAATGGAGAATTTAAATTATATCTTATTTGATTTACTTCATAGTTATAATCATCAAGTTAAAAGACAATTATTATATTGAACTAAATATGATAAATTATAATACTTTATAATTTTATTTTCATAAATATAAACGATTTATTTTAAAAATATAATATGCTGAGAAAACAGTTTAAAATTAGCAAACTATATAATACATGTCGAAAATTAACATATCTTAGACTTTTATTTATACAATAATATGTTATCTAAAATGAAAACACAAACAAATATTGGTAAAAGAAAATCCAGCTTTGAAGGTCGGATCAGAAATTACCATAAATCAAATATAAAATAATTTTCAAATATGTTTTCTCATGAATATACTAGTTTGTTTAATAACTAAATGCAAATACAATAAGATAAATATATAATAAGAAGTGAAAAATACATACGGTTTTTAACAATTAATTATTATAACATATAAATTATAAAATTATTGTAATTAATATAATTATATATACATTTACGTATATGATTAACGTTAAATATATATATATATATATATATATACAAATTTATGTTCTAAAACAAATATTTATGTATATTAAAATGAAAACATGTCAACAATCTTTTTACAGAAAAACAAAATTAATGGCAGTTTCTTTTATTGAAAATGCGTAAGAGTTATTTTGGATTAATTAAAGAGATTATTATTATCTCTTATTGTATTTCCTGGCATGATATATGATGGTAGTATTAAGGTAACTTGAACAGCCCAATTAGAGTTCGCCCTAGAGCTCAACGCTCTCAGGCACGATTTACGAAGCAGCCGCAACACTGAAGATTTCAACATGAGCCTCTCTCTCCGGTGTCCCTCTTCCGTCTCGTCTCATTCCTAACCGCCGCGATATTTCTTCTCAAAGATCTGCTATCATGATGGCCACTACTCCTCCGTCGTGTCTCCGGCCTCCTCCAGATCCGCCGCCGTCGCCTTGTATGTACGCTCTGCTTGAAACTCTCTGTCCCGTCATCCCTCCAGAACCACCTGATCCTCCAGACGGACCTTTCCTCCTCGTTCTCCAGACAGCTCTCTCCTCTGTCATCTCTCCATCTTCTCTCGTTGTCATCGTCCACCCTAGTCTGCTACATGGCGCCGCTCCTCCCGAAAATCTGATGTCTCCTTGTAAGCCTTCTTTTCCTGTGGTATACAGGTTGTATCTTTGTCAGTTCCGGAATGGGTCGTCTAACCGCTCTTGTTCAAGCCTCATGTTTATCCATTCGCTAATAAACGTCCAGGTTCTTCTTAGTCCCTTTCTCGTTGGTTATCCCTATTCTTTTGAATGGGATGCAATGATAGATCTGTGGGTGATTCGAACCTTATTTGGTATTGTACTGATGGACTTTATGTCCTTTAGCTACATATTTATGTCTCCTGGTTGTTTCTACTCTGCTATAGAGTGTTCGCTGCGAATTGATTCTTGGTGTCAGATTTGTTTAACCCCGTCTAGAGTGGTATACTCAATGTTAATTTGCAGATCTTCAGCTACGTGGTGGGTTCAGATCTTGATTATCACCACAATGATGAAACCAAACTCAACTTTCCTATCACCATTGGTTTTATATTTTGAAGATTCACTCTATGTAATGTTCAAAGGCTCAACATCTTGGTATCACATTGCCTCTGCTATTCCTCGTGCTGTGGAGATACGAGGACACCTCTGCGATGCGAATGCAGCTTGGGATGCTAAGTCTTGGCACTGCGACATTGGAGTCATCTTCTCGGGTGAGAATACCATCTCCCTACCAAATCTCTGCGATTCTCGCAATCATGTATCATCAGCACTTATGGCGGAAGCCGTTGCTGTCCATCGCGCGGTTTCATGCGCTGTTTTCTCAAACGTCCGATCCTTGGCGGTTCTGTCTGAATTGTTCGGTTTCACGTTTGTTATCTATCACTTTGTACCTCCTTTTGATGTAATTTCCTTTAGTTTCATTTCTCTTGCACGGTCTGTAATGAACTCCATTGTTGGAGATTAATCTAGTGTGAAATGAAAAGTATGTTTGCCCAAAAAAAAAGAACAGCCCAATTAAGAAACTAACGTATCACACGGTCTGCCAACAATTTGGGATAGACTACACAAACATTATATCGATGGTTCCAGACCCGAAAGCATGGCTGAGTTTTTCCATGGAGCTAAGCTTACATTCCAAAAGAGAAGATTTCCCAAATTCAAAATCTCCTATATGTATCAAGAAAGCAAAATCGGACTATAAATGGTTTACTTAGGATTACCGACCGCGCTTTTAACTTTTGTTGGTTATTTTATTTCGGTTGGATTCTTAGACCACCTCTAGTTTAACTAATTGAATAATTTTTTTTTTATGTTAAAAGAAAAACTAAGACGAATTATATATACCAAAAGGTAAATATGCTAGATAGAATGCTTTTTGCAACACATTATTATTATTTTTTTCATGTGAATGTAACTTTTTAACAGGAATTCATTTGGGTATTGTTTTTTTCTTAAACTTTTGATTGTTTGAAACCTTTTTTTTGAGAAAGTGCTTTAATTGCTTGAAACTTCAGTACCTAATTAAAATGCATACAACGAACGGTGACTGGTAAGAATCTCAAATAATTATTTAGCAAAAAAAAAAAAGAATCTCAAATAATCCGGTCTAAGCGTGTCGCTCAGTTCAATCTAGAATGATCACTCCGAATAAGATTCAACATGTTTCTGAGCCATGCGAAATGAGAATAAATTCGATTTATTTTACGGTAATTTTATAACAATCTATTCAAATGAACATAACTGAAATTTATTTATTGATAGAAATACAAAGAAATACATACATCGAAAGATGCACCCAACGATGAGAAGACATTACATGATTGATGTTTACTACAGTAAACCATTTATTTAATCTGCCACAAACTCGAAAGGTGTTCAAGATTTATTCATAAAAGCAAAACACCCCATGTATTATTTATTATAGCATATAAAAAGACTTAGGCTTACATAAGAACCCTTTTAGTAATTGACACCATCGACGTCGTGGTGTTACGCTTCAGTTATGGCGTTCACAAAAGCTTTTCAGTCTTGTAAATGCATCCTCCAACGTCGGAGCCTCCATGTCAATAGAATGCCTTAGCCAGTTCTTCTGACCAAATGCAATCCCTAACCAATACAACACAATATGTTTTTTTAGGAAAAAAATATGTGTCAGAACCAACAATTTAATCAGGTTTGAACTTGAATAGTGATATAACAATGCCAGTAGCTAATACCAATATTATGCTCCATATTTTTATATGTTTATAAATGTCCACAATACAAAAACAATTGTGTGTACATTTTACCTTCCACCCCGATAAAAGCCTATTTTTTGAAAATTCTAGAGTGGCATATTCATAGTTACGGGGATTGATTATTTATTACCTGGTAAAACGACGAGGTTTTCTTCCTTAGCAAGCTTATTGCAGAAGTCTTGGTCGTCTTTAATGTCCACAAAATGTGATGGGTCCAGCTCGGTCTGCAATAAACAAGAAAAAGATATGTGCAATATATCCACAGTCAATTTTTTTTTTAAAATATCCACAGTGAAAAGTCTGTGTAAAATTATGTAACAAAAGAAAATTAATAGTGAAAAAAATACTAGAATAAGCAATAATAGAATACCCATAAGAAGGTGCAGGCTTCAGGTTTCATGTAACAGGTGAGGGTAGGTATCTCCTTGAGCTTAGAATATGCAATATCCACTTTTTCTTTTAGAAAACTCTGCCTCCTATCAAAGAATTCTTGAGGAGTTTTCTCCAAGATGGTGGGAATAGCTGCCTACATTATCAGATTAAAACGACTAATTTGCCACAACATCATTGATATACTGGTGGATTTGTTAAAAAAAAATTAACCTATCGGAGACGTGGAGCAACTCACAATTGACAATAAATGAAATATATATTGTAAAGTTGATCTAAGTAAAAGAATGTTCTTCGTTGATTTCTCTTGACCTCTAGGGTTAAGTATTTATATGGTTTTATACAAATAAGATAAACTAAGGCAAGGAAAAAACCTTGTACAACAATATATATATGAATATATCCCAATTATATGTGTATGTCGATTTTAATCGTTTTACAATACTGTATTTACAATAAGTCTGAAGAGTGAAGCAACTAATCAGAATTGTGCATACCTGGATAACAGTTGGTGGCTTAGAATTTATCTCCAAAAATTCATTAGCAGCTTTTAAGATCTGCGCATATGTAACAAAATTAGTTTTGATAGATATGTTAATTATTTACTCAAATTTAATGTATGTAAATCGTGTATATAAATGCTTAAATGTGATTCAAAAATAAATAAATAAATGAATCAGACCTTGGTGGATTTAAAGACACCGTCTAGATCGTGCAGTGCGAGCCAGCCGGTTCGCCATCCTGGGACACTCCATCCCTTAGATATGGAACCGTGTGTAATAACGGGTACAATCGAAGAGAATTTCCCCATTGGAACAAAGGGTTTACTTCCAAACACGGTCCATCTATATACTTCGTCTGAGACAACCATTATCCCGAGTTCCCGAGCCAACTTAGCAAGCTGGGATCATTTCAAAAAAGCAATCTGGATTGTTAACAGGTTATTTCATTGAAAAAAATATTAAATTTAAAATTTATCCAGTATTTTATAAAAAAAGAATAAAATTTATCTAACTGTTCTTTAACAAAAAATGTATAATCTAAATTTTTAATATGTTATAACATGTAAAATGTAGAAGCTACATACAAATCAAAAAAGTTTTCATGTCTCACCAGCCATGTCAATACTTATCGAAGAGTACAACTATTGAAATACCAATGTTCAAAAAACAAAACTACGTAATATACCTGCTCAAGATGAGCCTCAGTGTAGTAGTTCCCATTGGGATTATGAGGGTTGATTATAAAGATCGCGAACGTGTTCTTGTCTGCCATCTCTTTGACGCTATCGAGATCGATTTCAAATTCTTTCTCGGGGATGACTTCATACCTTCGAACCTCGAGTTTCTTGAAGAGAGAGCGGACGTAGTCCGCAGGGAAACCCGGTCTAGGAATCAGGATGTTGGCGTTTGGTTTAGCCAGGATATCTACCACGACCTCGATCGCTTGTTTGCATCCAACAGTCATAAACACATCATCTCCCGTTAGCTTATTATCAAGATCTCGGTTGAGATATTTAGCCACAGCACTGATAAAAAATATAACAAAGTTAAGACGCAAATAAGGGTGTCAAAGGCAGCAGTGAAGCCAGGTTATAAGCAGTGGTCAAATGATCCACATGGTTTTTATAAAACGAATTTTCTTTACTTATAATGTGAGGAAAAATACCAAAAAGGTGTTTGGGCATGTGCACCCATTATTATATTAATATTCAAATTTCATGAACAAGAAAATTAGGATTTTATTAGCTCATATGGTAAAAAGTACTTTATGCACTCTTACTTTCCTGGGTTCGATATATTTTTGGTATTTAATTATCAATAGTGCACCCAAAAAATAATTGGTCTAGATTTGTCCCTGGTAAAAGGGGCATCAATTTGCTACTCCTACTTATGTTGTCGAGAGTAAAAAAAGACTTCTCAAAGAATTAACAATATTTTTCTGTGTATATTATTTACTCTTTGGCGACCGGGAGGCCAATGCCAGGGGCGTAGGCGTTTCCATCGCCGCAGATGACAGCTTTTACAACTGCCTTCTCGGCGGTATTGCTTGACTCTGGGGACGCGTTTCGTGGGGGCAGGATAGGCTTTCCCTGAGGATCGCATAGAGCGAAGAGTTTAGAAGTGTAAGTGCTTAGGGAAGCTGCTGCGGCTTCTTCTGCCGCATCACTGCCACTGAACTGCCACTCAACGCATTCATGGTTGGCCATATTTCTTCTTTTATTTCTTTAAGTAGTTTTGATTTTTGGATGATTACTCTCGTCGCAACTAGTGAGATTATATAGTACCAGATTGTACACTATTTACAGTCACAAAGAAAAAAGATCGTACACTATTTACCAAAGTTGATACTTCGCGTGGATAGATAAGAGAAGAAAGGAACTAAATTTATCTGGAGGCCCTACATGTTAGTATGTGGATTTCCTCTCATCACGGTGATTACAAAAATCTAAAATTGCCTGGTAATTTATTATGAAACTAGGTGATTTGTTTTTCGTTCTCCTCAACAAATAAAAATTTACAAAATATCTAAATCATATTATTTGAATAGTATTTTATTTTCAATTTATAAGGTTTAAATCGTTTTATAATTTATATGTATGAAAAATAAATAAATTAAAATTTAAAATAATTGACTTCAAACCAACGAAAGATAGTGATATTAGTATAATGCCAAAAACAGTAAAAAATTAGATGTTATTGTAGTATCAAAATATAGAAAATTACCTCCAAGACCCTAGCGAAAGTTTCTTCTGATTTAATATTGTAGGTTTGTAGTTAGCATGAAGATCTATTAAAGATTTTGTCAGAAGAAATCCAGCCATACAATTTATAAATTTAAGAAAAAAATATATTTCTCTCTCTCATTATCGTTGGGCTGTTGGTTTCTATCTCCACTTTCATCTTCTGATTTTTTTTTTTTTTTTGCCGATGAATCTAAGCAAAATCCAAGAAGATATGAGTTAGACAAGTTCATGAGCTTATAGGTTTATCTATTTTTCTCTATTTTCTTCCTTTATATAATCACTTAATCATACCCAACCACTCATCACCACAATCCCAAACAACTGACAGAAGCGCTTCTACAAGCTCACAAGCTCAGAGTTTCCACCACCACATCAATACCAAGAAAACTCAGCCGGCGTCTTGAACATGAATATGAAAGTAAGCTGGTGAAGAATAGAAGAGGTAAACCGAAGAAATACAGACATGAAAGTGTGAAACATCACTGGGTTTTGCACATGGACGTCCTTCTTTCACCGTTAACCAACCTAGTGGAGAATGTGGTGGCTCCGGTGGAGGGATAACCAGACTAAGCTTCGGTTACAAAATCACTAGTCTGGTTAAGTTTATTATTGGGTTGATAATATTTCTTGTAACTGATGAGGGTATTTTCATAAAATTTTATATAATCATTTTCTTTCCCTTTGGCTTGTTAAACTTTATTGTAACCCATGATGTAATATATTATTATGTAATGCAACTGTCTTTTTGTCAACAACTTGATAAGCATACTACTATTGTTTATGTATGTGTATTAGTTGGAAATGTTAATTTTTTGGATAGCTAATATAATATATACCCGGTTAGACAATGAATTATATGGGCTAAAATCTAATTTGATGGTAATGTTAATTTGTTAGACTGTTGATATAATATTTACATGGTTAACAAAAAAGTTATTTAGAAATGTTAATTTTTTGGACAGCTAATATAATATATACTCGGTTAGACAATAAGTTATATGGGCTAAAAAATAATTTGCTAGCAATGTCAATTTGTTAGACAGTTGATATGATATTTACATGGTTAACAAATACGCTATTTGGGATAAAACTTGTATGAATTTTGTACATCACATTCTTCGATTACCTTAAGAATCAAGATCATAACCATAACATATGAAATGAAGATACAAATAATGTTCTGGTATATGTGTTTGTTGGTACATATCAAAATTTTGGATAGCTAATATTACACTTACTTCTTTAGAAAATGAGTTACTTGAAATTCAAATTGGATTTGTTGGTAATGTTATGTTGTTGTACTCTTAATATAATATTTACACGGTTAATAAAAAGATCGTCACTTATACTTCAAACCAAAGAATAATATGTAACTTAAAATGTAGGTACCATATACATATACAATACATATATATATATATATAATATATATATATATATATCTATCATATATCATATATCTATCAGATGGAGACGCAGTGGTGGAGAGCTTCACCAAAAACGCAGCGACGTTGAGCTTCACCGGATATGCAGCAGCGAAAAGCTTCACCAGAGACAAAAGACATCTGAATTTTATATTATCTGACTAGACTACCATTTAATAGACCAGTTACAAATGATAGAGGACATCTAAACTTTATACTATTTGTAGACCGACGAATACATCATGATCATGTTCTCTGAAGATAACCATCACTGGCCATTGTTAATACCTACAAATATCACCATTAAACAGTTATACTATGGAAATCAGAAAATTTTCAAAATTATATCCTATTGGTATCATGTGTCCATATAAATTTTACTCATCAAACGGCTAACATGTCTGCTCATTAGAAAACAGTTACGCAAAAAGCAAGATGTGTGAGAATAAGTTTTATGGGTTTAATAAGTTCGTTGGGAAAATATAACCAAATCAAAGGACTCAGCTTTAAGACAATCACTATATCTAATGTTTTTCATCAGAGCATCATAGCGACATAGGAAATATTAGTCTAATTAAAGATTCAATATTTACATTTGCACAAGAAACTAATAAATTTCATCTTGATCTAATCATGATTGGTCCGTTTCCAATTGCAAAAGTTCTCTCTGAAACTGGACTTGAGGATGCTTGCACATTGTTTCCCTCCATTGTAGGTGTTAAACAAGATAGTTTAAGATCTGAGAATAGAGAACGTAGATTGAAAGAGAGAAGATTGGAAAGAGAAGGATGTAAAAAAATTAAAATTTAAAATATTTAGAAAAAAAATTAGAGAAAGCAAAGAATAAGAATTGATGTGATGTTAGATGAAGATCTTTGGCAAGATTTGGTCTATAGAGATGGATAAAGCTAAGAACGTTAATATAGAGGTAGCAGAGTAAAAAAATGTCAAACAATAGCGTATCAGTACATATTGGTATAAAGCTAATTATGCATAAGTTCTTTGGTATAGAAGCTAATTTCTCTTAATTTTGCTTATATACAATACAATTGCTTTAGTTATTGAGCGTTTTACAAAAACAACCAACAAATTCTAGTCAAATGCAAAACTAATCATTTTTTTTCATTACTATTCATCCATGAAATTTTCAAACCATCCTTATGTTTTTGAAATATTTACAGAATTGCCATTATTATTTGTTTTTTTACTTATTTCGAAAATGACAAAAAACCAATTGCACCCTAAACTTTTCTTCTTATTTACAACAATGTCATCGTCATCAATTTTCAACCACCATTTTTGAGCTCTTTAAACCTCTCAAATTCAATTTTCCACCACTTTTTTCTCATTATAAACCAACAAATCTTCACTTCTTCTCATTTTCTCTCTATTTTCATCTAAACACTCTCATAACTTTCATTTTCATAAGCATAAATTCATTATTTCGAATGCACTCTGTTGTTGGTCGTCTAAGCTGCTTCTTTTTCTTCATATTTGGAGCTTGGACGGTGGAAAAATGTGGAAACGAGCTTTACACCGGAAAAAGGTACCTATTTACATGGTTTTCGTCATTTTTTTTTCCGATCTGTGTCACAATAGTAGACTGTATCATATGTCTACGTATACATGTATGCTTACGATGCAGTCTGCTTGTCAATGCACAAGTTAGTTTTGCAATTGACCAGAATAATTGTTTATGCAAATTAGACTTCCCTGGAAGTCTACGTCAGTACCTTTGATAACAAAAAAAAAAAATGAGGTAGACTTACAAAGAAGTCTACGTAAAAGAGGTTAGTTTTGTATTTGACCAAACTTTTGACTTTTCTATGTAGACTTCGTCAGAAATCTATAGAATGTAGACTCCCCGAGAAGTCTACAAAAAGTCTGTTTTGTATTTGACCCAAATTTTTTTACTTCGTTGAATAGGTTAGTTTTGTATTTGAGTAAAATGTTGAAAAGTTGACCAAGAAGAAAAAAAGTGTAGACTCTAATTTCAATATACTAATTTCAAAAAAAAAAAAAAATAGACAGCACATGAAGTCTACTATTTTATTTTGGTCAAATGCAAAACTAACCCCCTATATTTGAGCGACTGGGGAGTCAGTCAGTGGGGTATGGGATGCTACCCGGAAGTCCGTGGACCCAGACATAGCACACTGAATGAATATAAATTAAATCTAATGCATGTAAAGCACGATACCTAAAGTACCCAAACAACAAACAATGGTCCTAGCGAGGTGCACACCCGCTGTCCACTAAGAGGCCAACAATGCTGGGATAGTGCCCAGTAACAACGCCCGAAGATGATTTATCGACCATAACAAAATACGATCCAGCTGGTCGACTAAAGCCGTCTGTAGCCCCCATACAATCCGGCATACAGAAGTACCTCAGTGTATTCGGCCAAAACAATTTTTAACTAAAAGAGTTACATTAAGTGAAGCAATCAGCATTGAACCATCTAACTTCCTAATTCTGATTTAAGAAAAGAACCTAACTTACTAAACAAGCAATGACAGACTCGATTTCACATAGACGGAACATATTAGAAATAAATTATATCTCGGGATTAGACCCTCACTTTAGAAATGGGGAAAAGTGGTATCTATGAACTTCAGGTACTCAAATAGATCCCAAATCTGAAATGAGACTGAAATTTCGAGTCAGATGGTTCTTCGAACTGTCAAAAATAGGTGTCTACGGAAAACTCAACTCTTTGATCAAAGGTCAACCCAGTCAACTCTGACCCAAGCCGGTCAATCCTTGACCAAGTTGAAATCGAATTGGACCAGCCAGTTTTCCTTAACCGAATTCGATATCAACTGAACCAAATTCATATCGATTGCAACCCAGTTTAATCCTAACCAAAAAATCAATTTCTAATAACCACCTAGTTTAACTCTAACCGGTTTAAATTAATTTAAACCGGTCAAACTAGTCAAACCACCGGTTTACCAAGTCAACCGAGTTTATTCGCTGAGTTGACTCGGCCGAGTTGACCGAGTCACCGACGACGGTGGAGGCTTGGCGACGGTGGTC